TAGAGATTATTTAAATAAATAATGAAAAAATATATATATCCAGGAAGCCCTGAAATTGCAAGAAGGTGCTTAGGCTTGTTGGTAGGGGATGGGAACACATTTCAAAAGGTAAGCTGATAGGGCCTGTCTTAGTTTGCCCCACCTCCCCCATACCCCAGCAGAATCTCTAGGGACCCATTCATATCACATGTCTATTTTACACTTGTCCTCTCAAAAATCTATCCCTTCCCATTCTCTCATTCTTTGGAACAAGTTATCTAGTCTCAATGCTCTGTTCCTCCTAAACCTATTGATTTGGTTTCCCCAAATCACACATTTGAAAGCACAGATACCTCCCTTCTTTTTCATTCCCTCTTATCACCTCAAGTATCACCAAAGAGGCTCTTCCCATTTAGGCTGATAAAACCCATTTAGTCTGTAAAGACTCGGGGTTGCTAAACTAGTAAATTCGAGTTGCTAATATGTCAGGAAAACTATTAAACACCCAGCTCTCCCTGTAGTAGCATCCACGTATCATCTCAGATTAAGGTGAGCAGACTAGAGGCAGCACAGGGTTTTAATTAAACTCATAAAATTAAGTGAGACAAGTAGTAAACTGAAGAAAATGTCACTAAAAAAAAAATTCCTTTCCTTTCTCACTCTGACCTTCAGCTGCATCTATAAACAAGAAAATGAACAGGCAAACACAAACACAGACCACATGGAACAGCCTTGACTACCTCCTGGACAAACACCTTTGCATCAGAAAATATCCCAAGAAAGTCAGAGAACTAATTATAAGGAGGAAAGAGCAGGGAGGAAATTAATGTAATTTAGATAGTAAACATCTGCACTTCTTTCCCACCTCTGAACTCCCAGGGAGTACGCCCTCTCTTTAACCTTCATCTTAAGCAAATATAAGGCAATGTAAACCAAGCCAGGGTCTCTGAAGATTTTAGAATAATATTTACAACTATTTTCCCAAAAGCCATCTGGCATATCATTTTTCGGAGTGGAATTCATTTACCTGATTGAATTTGAGGCATGCTAGAAACATCTGAAGCCCACATAACGACAAATGGCTCCCTGTCCAGATGCCCTTATACGGCCAGACTTCCTATAAATCTGACAGCCCAGTGTATGTATTGCGTATGGGTCTTGGCACTGGGTCACATTCCTCCGGTATGTTTCCCTGGGAGCTCTGATTTCCGCTTTGAGGGTTGGCACAGACTCCTACTTGCTCTTATAAGAAAATGTCTATGACTGAAAGTTGAAAATGTGCAAGATTCCTTCTTTAAGTACACAAACACTCCAAAGTCTGGCCACTTTCCTGTCGTCCTGCCAGGTTTTCTCTCTGTCTGATATCTGATCAAATAACCATTTTTTAGGGGGGGAAAAAACAACAAAAAAACATAAGGAAGGAATGTAGTACATCTTACAAGACTTAACCAAACGACCTGTACAAATGATACCTGAGTAGACACACACATACCTTCTATAGCTCTGTAAACAGGACTTAGTGGCCAGCTTCATGAATTCCTCATTTAAAAAAAAAAAAAAAAAAAACTCTAAAAAGCATTTGCTAGATAAACACTTGCTTACAAGACAAAATTAGTGCATCTTAACCATTTTACACACAAATTCAAAGAACTTTTTCTCCCAATTCTAACCTGCTGTCAGTCAAAAGGGTTAGGATAAATCAGAGTTGGACAAAGTTATAAGAAGCCACTATTTCCACTTTACCGCCCAGGTGCACACAAACATTTGCTGAGTCATTTATAATAGTGCAAGAATTCAGATCCCATGGCATGAGTTAAGGATGGAGTGTCAGCCTTTCCCTTTGAATTTCCTGGCACTTGAGGGTCCCCCAACACAATACAAACATACTTTTGAGTTTGTGAATGTCTTGGGCATTTTCTCATTCTCTCTCTGTCTCTCCTTGCATGTGTGTGTGTTTCTCTGTTTCTCTGTCTCTTTCTGTCACTTCCTTAATAATGATCTTTTATTTTAAACTCTTCAAAGGAATTTTGATCATAAAGTCTCACTCTAACCTTATAATGCCCAACATTATTTTTCCTATTCTGAGATTCCATGTTCTATATATTTCAGTATATTTTCTCTTAGCCAATACTAAAACCATCCATTTGGAGCTAACTGTGGACTTTTTGAGACTTTGAGGGACCATGTGAATTTTATAGTAAAACCATATTCTTTTTATAATGTCTTGTTCTTTTTAACAACACAGCAGAATGGTGGTATCCGTGCTACATTTGTGGAGGAAAAGGAAATCAAGAAAAATGGTGGGGGGCGGAGGGCACACCAACTCCCTAAGAATTTTAATCCAATTAACCATCATTAAATCCTGGGAAATAAAACATTCTTATTATCCTCATTCTAATAATGTCAGCTTGGAAATATGGCTCTTACTTCCTTAAGATTTGTGAATGGCAGTTCTAAGAATATAAACCAGGTCACCTAACTGTAAGCCCGTCCAGCAATTTATCCCTTCCATGAATGAAAGTCTCCACTCTCCTGTACATGAGGCTATTGGTGGTGGCTCTCAGACTCTCCAGGGCATTCAGAAATTCCCAACCATTCTCCCATCTACTTCACCCCCGCAAGCCACGAGAGATCACCACCAAGCCCACATCCCACCTTAGGTGAGGCTCTGACTTCACATCCCTACCCTTCCCCAACTACCACACCTTCCCAACCATTAGTGGCAGACATAATTCGGGGTTTAGGTCTTGAAAGATTTCACTGGGGCTTCCCACATATTTTGGACTTTTAAAATCATCCACGAGGGAAGAAGAAGTTGGGGGCCAAGTCGCCTTTAATACACATGTGGTTATTAACATAACTTGGAATGTTCCATCTTTAAATAGGAAATTTTAGGCCTCTTCTCTTTGAGAAATGTTTGGAAGGAACACTAAATAACAATGCTGAAAATTCTTCCTGAGCTTCAGAGCCGCCCCCCCCCACCTCCCTTTGCTGGCCACTCACACTTGACAGGCAACTACACTGTACAACATGGGCGTTGCTTAGGGAGGTAATTGTGTACAGATGATGTGGTCGATGCTGAAGCTGGAGTGGTTCTTTTCTTCTTGGCTCTTTTTCAATAGAATGAACTGAAACAGTAAAAAAAAAAAAATGCGGCCTCTTTAAACAGGCTGTTTTCAAATTAGAAATCTGTAGTGTTGTTTCTCAATCCTCATCTTTGCATCAGGTGCAGGTGTCTTTATCTTAAACCTAACCAGTGAAACATCAACAACTGAAATGAGTTTACTCACTGATAACATCAGTGTCAAACGATGTGGCCCCACAATGGGAAATTAAAAAAAAAAAAAAAAAAAAAGGCAGGGCCCTAGAATCACTCTCTTTACATAAATGGTAACTGGAATTAACAACAACAACAAAAGCAGTTAAACCATAGATTCTAAATGAAAGCATCGTTAATTAATTAAGTCCTTAGTGAAGCTAACTAGCAACACTAAGAAATGGAAATGTGCTTAGACTTTTTTATCTGCTGTGTTTGACTTCTGTGCACAAGCAGAGAGAATGAAACCTGTTGTTTCCTTGACCTGATCTCACTCCACTAGGCTGCAGTCTCCTTGGATAGTAAAAAGTCACAATCGCTATTCATAGAAGTGTAGAGAGTTATTACTAAAATATCTTATTCACTGACACTCTTAGTTTATAACCAGCAATATTAGGGTCCGCTGTTCTTGTTAATATTATCAGATTTTTTTACTGCAAGACAAACCAAGTCCAATACACATTCGAAGATTATAGGTTTTAGTATTAAAAAATCATCCATTTCTCAAAGACCCAAACTGAATTAAAACACCCCAAGTAAATCCCAAGCTTCTTGCTGGCCCTCCTGTCTGGCTCCCCTCTTTTCCCAACACCCAGAGCCTCTACCTACTCAACATGTAATCATTTGCTCTGACATAACAACAGACCCACTTTTCTGGAAATATTGATCCGCATTCATCTCTTTTTTTCTTCCCTATACCCCCAAGAATAAGACTGTTACATTTATTAAGAGAAAACAAAGCAAGAGTGCTGGAAATCTCCCCTGGAAAACTGCATCCATACTCTTGACCTCTGGCTTTGTTCTCTTTTTTGTCCTGCAGTAGGCATCCAGACCGTTATCTCAAGTGAGAAAAGACCAAATTCCTACATCTCCAATATGGAATGTAGACTTCGCAGGTAGGCTTCTTGGAGATCTCAGCCGGTCAAAAGCAACTAACTCCTTTTCTGCTCCCTGAAGAGTGTCAAAAGGCAGACAGCTACTAAAATTAAAATATTATAAAAATAATACAAAGGAAACCCTTCGGAATTTTTTTAGAAATCCCTGCTGTGAGCCTCTTCGGCTACCTACCTCCTAAAAAGCATTTATGTCAGTGGGTAGAGCTGGAACAGCTATTAGAAACAGAAGGGAGTGGAATGAAAAAATAATAGTAATTGCTCATGTATTTTTCAATGATATAAATCAGGAGTAGTGGGAAGAAACATGGGGAAAAATCCTATTTGGTGCTGGAAATACTGAGCCCTTTTTTTTTTTTTTTTTTTTTTTTTTTTTTTAGCCGGAGTGTGCCAGCTTTTTCAGACGGGAGGAATGCTGAGTGTCAAGGGGTCAGGATCAATCCGGTGTGAGTTGATGAGGCAGGAAGGTGGGGAGGAATGCGAGGAATGTCCCTGTTTGTGTAGGACTCCATTCAGCTCATTGGCGAGCCGGGGGCCGCCCGGAGCGTATAAAAGCCGCGGGCCGCCCGCCTCAGCCTCACACAACAACTCTTCCCGCTGAGAGGAGGCAGCCAGTGCAACTCCAACGACCGACCGCCTCCCCCACCTCCGACGGCAGCCGCCCCGGCCCGACAGCTCCCAGACCGCAGCCCGGAGCGCCCAGACACCGACCTCCGGCCCGAGCCCGCGACCCTGCGCCGGGACCGCCGCGCCCACCCCATCGCCGCCACCGCCGCGCCCTCTGCCCGGTCTGTCCCTCCCGCTGCGCCCACCATGTCCGCCGCCGGCCTGGGCCCAGTCCGCTGCGCCTTCGTGCTCCTGCTCGCCCTCTGCGGCCGGGTAAGCCGAGAGCCCCGCGGCGGCGGCGGCGGCCGGCGCCCGTGGGGGGGCGTGCGGGCGGGGCAGGGCAGGGCCCCGGGGCGCCGAGCGGCGTGCGCCAGCTGACCGCCCCCTCCTCCCCGCAGCACGCCGCCGGCCAGGACTGCGGCGGTCCTTGCCAGTGTGCTGCCGCGCCGGCGCCCAGCTGCCCGGCCGGCGTCAGCCTCGTACTGGACGGCTGCGGCTGCTGCCGCGTGTGCGCCAAGCAACTGGGCGAGCTGTGCACCGAGCGCGACCCTTGCGACCCGCACAAGGGCCTCTTCTGCGACTTCGGCTCTCCGGCCAACCGCAAGATCGGCGTGTGCACCGGTAAGAGCTGCGGCCCGCGCCCCTCGCCGCCTCCCCCCGCGGGGGTGCAGGGAGCTCCGGTGTCCCGGCAGCCCCCCAACCCCACCCGCGGAGCCCTGCTCCCCGCGCATCCCCGACTCGCCTACTGCTACCGATGCCTGACACTTGCATCCCACTCCCCCTTATCCCCTCTCCCTCCTTCAGCTAAAGATGGTGCCCCCTGCGTCTTTGGAGGAACGGTCTACCGGAGTGGAGAGTCCTTCCAGAGCAGCTGCAAGTACCAGTGCACTTGCCTGGACGGGGCAGTGGGCTGCGTGCCCCTGTGTAGCATGGACGTCCGCCTGCCCAGCCCTGACTGCCCCTTCCCGCGGAGGGTCAAGCTGCCTGGGAAATGCTGCGAGGAGTGGGTGTGCGATGAGCCCAAGGACCACACGGTGGTTGGCCCTGCCCTTGCCGGTGAGTGGAACCTGCCTCTCAGTCACTATTGTGATCCTACCCCCAGGGGCTGAGTCCTCCCTAACTTTGCCAAGGGAAGGGGGAAATGTCTTATCCTGGCGGCTTACCTTGTGTTTGGGTGCTCTGCTCTCACAGCTTACCGACTGGAAGACACGTTTGGCCCAGACCCAACTATGATCCGGGCCAACTGCCTGGTCCAGACCACAGAGTGGAGTGCCTGTTCCAAGACCTGCGGGATGGGCATCTCCACCCGCGTTACCAATGACAACGCCTTCTGCAGGCTAGAGAAGCAGAGCCGCCTCTGCATGGTCAGGCCTTGCGAAGCTGACCTGGAAGAAAACATTAAGGTACATTTTCTGTTCCTATTAATCAGTTTTCTTGGGATCGTAATAGACAGGACCAAAGTTGGGTCTCACCGCCCTGGTTATTATAGACCTTTTATCTCTAAAAATATCTAACCATGGAGCTGTTTTGCTGGAATGAGATGTTGTGTAATTGGAACCACCAGCTTTCCACTAGGAAATTCTCCACACTGTTAGTTAATTCAAGACATCCCAAGAGAGGCTATGACTATTTTTGGAAAACTGGCAAATGAGACGCAAACATCCTCTCTTAAAATATAAACAAAAGTCAGACAACTTAAGACTAAAACACACAGAGCTTGAAGAAAGCCACGTCCCTTATAGAGTCATTGATTTTTTTTTCTTCTTCTTCTTCTGCTTTGTCTTCCTTAGAAGGGCAAAAAGTGCATCCGTACCCCCAAAATCTCCAAGCCTGTCAAGTTTGAGCTTTCTGGCTGTACCAGCGTGAAGACGTACCGGGCTAAGTTCTGTGGTGTCTGCACCGATGGCCGGTGCTGCACCCCGCACAGAACCACCACTCTTCCTGTGGAGTTCAAGTGCCCCGACGGGGAGGTCATGAAGAAGAACATGATGTTCATCAAGACCTGTGCCTGCCATTACAACTGTCCTGGAGACAATGATATCTTTGAGTCCCTGTACTACAGGAAGATGTATGGAGACATGGCATAAAGCCAGAGAGTGTGAGAGACGTTGACTCATTAGGGTATAACTTGAACTGATTCGCATCTCATTTTTGTGTAAACATGATTTCAGTAGTGCAAGTTATTTAAATCTGTCTTTCTAACTGGGGGAAAGAAAAAGTCCCACCAATTTCAAAATATTGTGCCACGTGACCTTAAAATAGTCTATCAACCCAGACACTGGTTTGAAGAAAGTTAAGACTTGACAGTGGGACTACATTAGCACATAGCACTAGAATGTATACGGAGGTGTGGCTTTGGGAGCAGTGGGAGGGCACCTGTAGAAAATATTATCATCTTCAAGTAGTAGGTGCCTGCTCTTTGTGGAGTGTAATTGAGAAGGGAAATTTTAGCATGCTCACTGACCTCCAGAGACAGCTAGGATGTGTGTTCTCTAGCCTTCATGAGGCTGGGTCAAGTTCTTTAAGTCAGAACACAGATTCAGCTCTGACATTCTGATTTGAATGATACTGTTCAGGAATCAGAATCCTGTCTATTAGACTGGACAGCTTGTGGCAGCGAATTTGTCTGTAACAAGCCAGAATTTTTTTTTAATTGATACTGTAAATAATGTGTGTATATATATATATATTTGTACAGTTATCTAAGTTAATTTAAAGTTGTTTGTGCCTTTTTGTTTATGTTTTTAATGCTTTGATATTTCAAATGTTAGCCTCAATTCTGAACACCATAGGTAGGATGTAAAGCTTGTCTGATAATTCAAAGCATGAAATGGATATTCAAATGGAAATTCTGCTCAGAAAGATAGTCCATCAAAACAGAGTTTACTGAATATGGGGCAGTGATGTCCTTGGAATTCTGATCTGTCAGTTGGAAATGTGGTAGCCTTACTATTAATGAACAAGTAGCCTTTATGAAAACACAAGTGGCTCTGTATAGCTGATCAGTTTTTCCACCTGGAAGCATTTGTTTCTACTTTGACTATGACTGTTTTTTGGACAGTTTACTCATTGAGAATGTGACCAAAAGTTACATGTTTGCACCTTTCTAGTTGAAAATAAAGTATATATTTTTTCTATAAAAAGTGTGGTTATTCACTTACTCTTCTAAACATTTCTGAGTTTTCTTAAGTATATATGGGAAGCTTTTATTTGTCTTAGAACAATTCATCTATAACTTTTTAAATCTCTTATCATATATACTGATAAATTGGTTAATCAGTTCAGTAGAATTTTACATAAACCTATTTCACACTGAATCGAGTCACAAACTTGCAAGCATACACTGTGTGTGTGTGTGTGTGTGTGTGTGTGTGTGTGTAGATAGATAGATAGATAGTAGATAGATATACTGAGCACACAGGCATTTTGTTACCTTCACAGTACTCTATAGACATTTAAATTAAATTCTCTTTAGGTAATTTTAGTCTCCAACAACCCCTATCGGTTACATTTGGTCCTGTTTACATTTAATACCTCTGGCCATTGAAGGGATTTAATTTACAACCTTTCACACCACCAACTAGTCTATGTACTTTACACATAGGAAAGGTTGTAACTAGTTTTTGAGTTTGTATGCTCTACTATAGATCTATTTCTGAACTTCGATAATCTTACTATTAAATCTGCAAAGGATAAAATCTGCATTTAAATGGAACCATTTGATAAATTGCATTTTTGTATAATTCTGTTTTCAGTGGCCATGAAAACCAATCAGAAATAGATGATGGCCCAAGTAGAAAAGGAGCATAATTTCTATTAACATTAAAGGAAATTTGTCTTCAATTAAAAGCAACTCATTCATTGCCCCAAGCTTTGGATTATCAGATTTCAAGATCAATAGCTTAGAAAGTGGCTGGTAAGTGATAAAATGAAATTGTTCAAGAAGCCTGGAAATGATACTGGACCTCTGCAGGCTTCTACCAAAAAGTCACCTGAAGTAAATGGCAAACAAAAATATTCCAAAGACAACTGAAAGCACAGTTTTCTCCACATTGATATAGCTGTGAAATGGCGGCGGGGGAGGGAGGGGGTTGCAGACAAACTAACCCATCACAGGGTAATTAGCAATGTTGTAGTGCCAGCATCATTCCAGGAGACAAAAATACATCTGAAAATAAAGACTAGTTCTACAAACAGTGCTCCTGCCACAAACCAAAGGGAAACCTTCCCATGTTCAAAATGTGCAAAGTATTTCTGGTCAAAACACTGGACTTTAAGGATACACCCACATATGTATATAGCAACACTGTTGGAAGCTGTACCCCACTTCCCCAAATAAACCCACATGTACATAAACACACACACACACACAGTACACTGGCTAGTCTGCGTGTTCTTTCTGTTAATATACTCCTAGATGCAAAGATGAAGGGCCATAGTAAATGAGCCTGAGTGTTTTATATGTTTTTAAAGATTTTATTTATTTATTTATTTGAGAGAGAATGAGAGAGAGAACACAAGCAGGGGGAAGGGCAGAGGCAGAGAGAGAAGCAGACTCCCACTGAGCAGGGAGCCCAACATGGGGATCAATACCAAGACCCTGAGATAATGACCCAAGCAGATGCTCAACTGAGTGAACCACCCAGCCACCCCAAGCCTGAGTGTTTTAAAAAGAGTTTGAGAATTCTGGGAAGATAGAAGTAGTAACAGAAGCATAGATTTTAAATTTTTCAATTTCCCACATAAAAACAGAATAACTATATTGCAATATCAAAATCCCATAGGCAATATTTACAACAAAATTAGGTGGCAAGGCATCCCTTTAATCCCAAAATGTTTGCGGGAGAAAATCATTAACCACCAGCAGATGTACACTGTGTCATCGTACGTATGGGAACAAAGAAATGCAACGGGATATCTGATACTTCTGAGAAGAGAGCTCCAAAATAGACAACAGTGAAGTGTAGGAGTCCAATTTGAGGGTAGGGGTTCTGCCCAGTCAAATAAATCTTACAAACCAGAGCTCCCACAGGAGGACTCTGTGCTTGTGGGAATGGAATCAAAATTGAGATTTGTTGTCAGAGACAACAAAGACATTGAAAGAGAAGGTCTAGGTAAAAATGAGAAGAGAAACAAATGCACAAAAATCTGAAGAAACAAACTGCCATATTTATAAAATCACATGAAAACAATAAAAGAGGAATCTCTATGAAGTTCAGAAAGCTGTCTAAACCAAGCGGTCTTACTGAATAAAATTCAAAAAAATTAATTTCACATAAAAAATAGGAAAACAAAATTATCAAAGCCAAAT